AAGTGACGCAATAGACTCAATTCTTTCCTGTAACGGCTGTCTCTTTCCTGGACCAATCAGAACTCCAAGAAATTTTACTTCATTTTTCATGAGCTGAACTTTGCGTGTATTCAGCTTGAGACCTTCATCTTGCAGAAGTGTAAACAGTTCTGCTAAGAGAGTCCTGTGTTCAGTTTCAGAATCCGTCATAAGCAAGATATTATCCACATATTGTATTAAACAATCAGGTCTAGAAAATATAGACAAAACATTTGCTAATGCCTGATGTAATATATACTTAGCATAATGATATCCTTTTGGAAGACGTTTGAGACAATATTGCACATTTCTGTGGACAAATGAAAACTTGTATTGGCAACTCTCAGCCAATTTAATACTAAAATATCCATTTGCAATGTCAAGTACAGAGAACACTTTTGCATTGGCATTTATTTGTGACATGATGTCAGGAGTTTCTGCCACAATGGGTGTACAACTTGGAGTATTTGTATTTTAGCATTCTTAGATCTATCAATAATCTATATGCACTAGGGTCATCACGCTTTGCCACTACCCACAAAGGATTATTAGTAACTGAATTGGCTTTCCTGATGATAACCCTGTTCCAAAAATTCTTGTATGATTACTGATACAGGTTCATCAGATTCTGGCGGCAACTTGTATTGTTTTAATGGGGGATGGTCTTTGCCTTGAATATTAACTTCAATATTTTTGAACAGTCCAGCTTCATTTTTACCTTGACTCCACAGTTTTTTGTGTAGTTGTACTAACTGTTTCAATTCCAAATTATCTCCATATCTGGCCATTTATAGTCAGCATCAATTGCTTCTGTCAAACAGATGCTACCGACTTCACAATAATCTGCTGGGTCAATTACCATAGGCTTACGATTAGCAGAGCCTTGCCAAACAATGCCATTGGCTAAATCAAGTATCCACCCTCTTTGAGACAAAACATCAGCACCAATAATGTTCTCTGATCCTTGACAATACCAAAAGTCTATTTCTGTTTGCGAACATCCTGGTATTTCAAAAGACACATTTTTACATTTTTTAGCTTGAACATCACCTTTTCCATTGAAACCTACAACTGTGCATACTGTTGCATTAGATGGAATTGGTATTTTTCATGCCTAAAACACTAATCTGGGCTCCTGATCCAACACAAATTGAAGATTTCTGTCCATTAATTTTAGCTTTTACATAAGGGCGCCCACACTTGTCCAAGAAAATTGGAGCTACATATTCCAGACAATGGAGTTCAACTTCCTTTTCTTTTGCTAGTCATGGTGAAGGTAATAGTGGCTGTCTTGAAGTATTGGATGAATGTGAGTTGTTCACATTTCCTCCATTACTAATTGACATTTCACTAATCTCTCTGATCAGAGGAGCGTAGGGTGAAGAATGACTTAACTTCCTGTGAACGAATTGGAGCTGACGGTTCAGGAGAAATAAGTCCATTTTCTTTACCCAAATTTCTCATCTGAATGTCTTTCAAAAACTTCCTACACTGCCATTTCAAATGCCCTGGTTTTGCACAATAGTAACAAGTGAGTGGTCTTTGATTCCCTTGTCTTACTCTGTCATTCCTGCGGGGGGCAGCATTTCCTGTCTTGAATTTATCCTGACTGTCATTCTTAGGATAATTATTCTCAATTAAAGCAATTTTTGGTCTTACATTATTTTGCTTTACTTGTCTCCTGATTTTGTCAATAACATAGGCAGCGTCATCCAAATTATCCTTTTCATTAGCAATCAATAAAGATGCTGGATCAAGGTACTTAAATTTTTTTACAAAATCCTTGACCATAGCAGGGGTCTCATCTTGTAAATTAAAAATCATCCTGTATGCTTTAGAAAATCTGATCCTAAAGTCAAATGGATCATCATTAATAGTAGCTCTTAAGGAGTCTAAAATTTCCAAACTAGGTGTCTCCTCTCCTGTTGTGAACAGTAGTAACTGTCGTAGTCTATCAGTAGCATTGCTATGAATTTCCATATCATCCTCATTCATGAAAGGAGTCTTGACTAACCTACGAGCCATAAAACTGGGGATCCACAACCCAAAAATGCGATTTCTTTGCTCATCAGTTAATTGAAACCTATCTCACAAAAATTCTCAAAAACATCGGAATTATGGAAAGAATTTTCTCTCATGTTATATGCTGGTATATCCTTCAATATTTTCATTAACTGATCCTGAATCTGTAACTGCAACTTAGATGCTCTAGCAAGTAATTTCTGTCTCTGAACAGTAGTCTCACTGCCTTCCTCATCCCTGGGTGAGTCTGGGATATATGAGGCTTGGGCTGTATCTGATTGCTTTTTCCTAGATACCACAGCTATTTGCTTATTTTTTAATATTGCAACATTTTGAGATTCAATTTCTTGCTCAAGATGTTCAATATAGGTACAAAAAGTTTCACAGTTTGCACAATTGGATTCAACAGTATCCTGCATGTCTGTACTCTGTAAGACATTTTTGCTATCTGTCTTAACAACACAAACCACATTTTTCTCTGGCAATTCAAACACCATAGAATTGAAAACTCTAACTAGCTTCACAATGTTACGCAATTTTCTTTTCATCTTATTAAACGTAAATCTAGAGCTATCAATATCAACATTAGCCTGCATACATTGATCATACATAGCTTTCCATAAACCAGTATCAGAAGCATGGCTAGCTAAACCTTGAAATTCCAATTTACTTTCATTAGCTAATGAATCAATAAATTCCATTTTTCTACTCACCGAATGTAGTAAATTTCCTCTGTTGTCCTGGCTTAGGAACTGTTCTGGTCACCACTTGAATCCTCAGATCTCCACAACCAACGTTTTCCGTTCCAGGTTCTGCAATCTTTCCGAAGCTTAATCAATAGAAATAGTTCATCTCAATCCCCTCTGAAGAAGCGAGGATAAAGTGAAAAAACGTGGAAAAATCGAATGGCTGGCTCTCGCCAATAATGTTAGATTTCCAGAGTTATGAAAAAACTCTATTAATATTTCTAGGTTCTTGTAGATGGTTGTGGGAAGAAATCCTTATGGAAGCCAGGTCAGTATGAGCAGTGTGACTTTATTTGATCACACACCAAAAATACAAAGTCAATAAAAAACAGTAAACTCAGATATATGTAGCTTAAAATGAAATAAAAATAAAGAATATAAGTTGCTTGTTCCTTGAATATTAGAAGAAAATGTAGTTCCTTTGAAAAACTTAGATAGAAGTTTTCAGGCCTAGTTTCTTCCTTTGTTCAAAGTTAACCTCTTGCCATGTGCTGTCTTTGTTCTTAGTTAACATGCCATGCTTTGAGTTAGAGTGTGTGAAAAGAATGTCTCTGTGTGTGAGTGAATGAAGTGAAGTGTAGTGTGTCTGAGAAGCTTCTGAGCCTGTTCTTTGAAAACTGCATACTTAAAATGCATGAGAAATTAGGTCCTCCCATTAAGCTTTGTTTCAAATTCGCGGGCTTCTAAAACTACTCCCATAATCACTCCCAGCTTACCTAGAACATGTGTTCCTATTCAAACCACCAAGTCATTATCATGATTGACATGCAGACTATGCAAAAGGTTTCTGAAGTTCTTATGTTACATACAACTGTCAAAATCCATGATTTATGACTACAATTTAAACTCTCGAACTCATTATAAGAATTCACAATATGGTATACTGTTACATAGAGTATTTCAAAAAGAAAACATGACTTTAAACCTCTGCTGATTACCTTTAGCTCAGACACAAATAATTCACATCTGACCACTGAAATACAAAACCTCACATTCACATCCAATTAAGAGGGTATTTTCTGCCAGCATATATTTCAAAACTACTAAAGACCGAATTAAAGTTTGGATATTAAAAATTAATATTACAAAGCCCATGTCCACAATCCGTCTGTGTGTGGTGGTTCTTGATGCACTGATTCCATCCTCAGTCCACTCCTTGTGAAAGTCCCCAACACTTTTGAATGGCCTTTTCCTGACAATCCTCTCCAGGCTGCGGTCATCCCTGCTGCTTGTGCACCTTTTTCTTCCACACTTTTCCCTTCCACATAACTTTCTATTAATGTGCTTTGATACAGCACTTTGGGAACATCCAACTTCTTTTGCAATTACCTTTTGAGGCTTTCCTCCTTATGGAGGGTGTCAATGATGGTTTTCTGCACAACTGTCAGGTAAGCAGTCTTTCCCATGATTGTGATTCCTACTGAACCAGACTGAGAGACCATTTAAAGGCTCAGGAACCCTTTGCAGGTGTTATGGCTTAATTAGCTGCTTAGAGTGGGACACTTTGAGCCTAGAATACTGCACCTTTTCACAATATTCTAATTTTCTGAGATTGTGGATTTGGGGTTTTCATGAGCTGTAAGCCATAATCCTCTACAATTATGACAAATCACGGCTTGAACCATTTTGCTTTGTAATGAGTCTATCTTATATATTAGTTTCACCTTTTAAGTTGCGTTACTGAACTAAATGAACTTTTGCAGGATATTCTAATTTTTTGAGTTTCACCTGTATTCACATGTGCACTGTGCTAGTATGAGATCTGGTTGAGGAGTCACTATATCTACTCATTTCCATACCTTGAATGCTGAAAACAAGCCCATGAGACCTTTTTAAGTAAAGAGGTCATATCTGTCTGGTGAGTGATTTAGTACTGCCATTCCACTGGGTGAAATAAGGATATTGCTTGGTGAAGGATCACAGCACCAAAGCAACCACATTTCTTCAAGATTGCAAATATTTGTAATTTGGACTTTTCATGGACTTTGTATTATTTTGTATGGACATATTTATGAATGTATTTATTATTTTTTTTGTTTGGTATTATGTTGGTATAATTAGCACAGTGCACGTTTGCACATTTATATTTGGTGATTTATTGGTCACTATATGGTGGCAGCTTAATCAGTCATATATTTTTTTTTTTTTTTGGCACAGGGTTTTTTTTTTCCACTTTTTTTTTTACATAATCGTAATAGTCTATTTTTAATACAGGCCATCCCTTATGTGGGTACAATCCTTGGAGGTCTGGAACCTGGGACTATGGTAGTAATCCATGGAACTGTCCCTAATGATGCAGACAGGTAATAGTAAAATCTATTCTCTAATGTTTTACGTACAAAACCATTAACCGCTGTTTCATGCATAGTAGTTGTTTACTAATGGAAGACAGTACACTCACTGTCTTATCAGTAATGAATGACTTTTGACAGGTTTTTATGATCAAAATTACAATTTCAACTACTGAAAAATATGATCAGGTATGTTGTCCTGTGTGAAGATCATTTCTTCCTTGGTTTATATGTTTCAACAATGGATGCTCTTCTGGAACTGGTGATATCAAACCATGTGGAGCTTATTATGAATCAGGGCTGGATCTAGCCTGTCTGATGATATTATTATTATACAGGATTTATATAGTGCCAACAAATTGTGCAGCACTTCACAACGTGACAGCAAACAGTACAGTTACAATACAATTTAATTACAGGAGGAATGAGAGGGCCCTGCTTGTTTAGAGCTTACAATCTAAAAAGGGTGGGTCAAGTGATACAAGAGGCAATAACTGTGGGGGATGAGCTGATGGAGAAAATACATGTACAGTTGTTAGGTGGAGGCAGGATAGGCTTCTCTGAAGAGAAGTTTTCAGGGAATGCCTAAAAGTGGACAGAGTAGGAGACATTCGGATAAATTGGGGTAGGGAATTCCATAGAATGGGAGAGGCTCGGGAGAAGACCTGGAGGAGAGCACGGGAGGGGGTAACAAGGGAAGTAGAGAGCAGGAGGTCTTGCGAGGAACGAAGATAACTAGTTGGTTGGTATTTTTTGGCTACGTTAGTGATGTTGCTGGGGGCCGAGTTGTGGATGGCCTTGTGAGTTGTTGTTAGTCGGCCAGTAACTTACTGAGAGACTGATGTTGTGAGCTGAGGGGTAGAGAGAGATTTGGGTGTCATCAGTGTAGAAATGATATTTGAAGCCATGGGAGTCTATCAGCTGACCCAGGGAAGAGGTGCAGATCGAGAATAGGAGAGGTCCAAGAACAGAACCTTGGGGGACCCCAACAGAGAAAGGAAGAGGAGAGGAGGAAGTAGAATTGTGAGTGACACTGAAGGTGCAGTGACGTAGGTAGGATGAGAAGTAGCGAAGAGCGCAGTCCTGGAGACCAAGAGAATAGAGGTTTTTTTTTTTTTTTTTTTTTTTTTTTTTTTTTAGGAGGGGGTGGTCAACCATCTCAAAGGCAGCCAAAAGGTCCAGAAGTAGGAGTACAGAATAGTGTCCATTGGTTTTAGCTGTTAGTAAATAATTTGAGCAGTTTCTGTGGATTGTTCAGGGAGAAATCCAGACTGAAGGGGATCAAGAAGGTTATTCTTAATGAGGTGGTCACTTAGTTGGCTGTAGACCAGGCATTCAAGGAGTTTGGAGGAAAAGGGGAGCAAGGAGTTTTCCCCACAAACTGAGCTTTCTTTTGGTGGTATTTGATTGCCTCTGCAATTTTTTATTTTTTTGCGCTAAAAAAAAAAGACAATTTTGAGAGAAAAACAGTATTTTTTAATTTTGCTATTAAACATGTCCAGTAAAAAAAAATTTAAAACATGACATTTCGTCATAAAGTTAGGCCAAAATTTGTTCTGCTACAAGCAGTGTGCACGAGCTGACGGGGATGAGAACTGTATTGTATAGCCGTGACCTGGTGATTGACAGCTGTGGCTTCAAATGGAGGAGCAGGTAGGGTGCGCGTGTGCCCCCTACCCAGAAATGCAAAATCACGTGTGTGTGTAATAAATATATATAATTATGCACACCCGTGCCGCCCTATAGCAGTATATCTGCTATAGGGCGGTCGGGAAGCGGTTAAGATTGGTGGGGTCCAAGGAAGACTTTTTAAGTATGGGGGTGACTAGTGCATGTTTTAGAGTGCTTGGGAAGGTGCCAGAAGAGAGGGGGAGATTGAAGATGTGAGTTTGAGAGTGTAGGATAGAGCTAGAGGGTGATTGCAGTATTTATGAGGGAATAGGGTCCAGGGGACAGGTGGTTAGGTGGGTGTTAGAAAAAGGTTTAACAACCTTATCAATAGTAGCAGAGTTGAATAAGAGCTGATTCACATATTTGTGGTGCATATTGAAGCTCAGATTTCACAGCTAACTGATACAGTACTTGTTCACAGGTTCACGTGAGGTTCAGGACAGTATTAGCTCAGGATCCTATCTTGTTTCACACACATGCGTTTTAGAAATGCTTTCCATAGAAGTCAATAGCCTATAATCCGCACTTGAACCGTACCGCACTGCTCAGAAATCGGACATGACTCTTTGAAGCCGCACTGAAACCACGCTGCCAGTGCACCGGACATATGTAAACAGGCACCATAGGAAGCAATGTTTTTTTCACATGTCATGCAGATTGGATGTGGTTCAAATTGCATCCAATCCGCATATCTGTGAACGGGCACGAAGGGAAGTGTTGAGTATACCTGTGGACATGGGTTGTGTGGAAAGAGAGTGGCGTTCATGGGTGGAGGCAGTGGAGGACGAAGTAGAGCGTTAAACGTAGAGAAGAGTTGACAGGGTCTGGATGGGACTGTGTTAATGAGAGTGATAAAATAGGTCTGCTTGGTAGAGTGGAGGCAAGAATTGTATTTTTGGTGGGTAGTTTAATATTGGTTGAAGTCTTTGTGAGACGTAGTCTTACGCCACAGATGATCCAGAGCGCGGCTGCATTTTTTAAGACTTCTGGTATCGTCTGTTTGTCAGGGTTGTGGGGGTCAGGGCCTGATTCTGTGTGTGTGTAGTGAGAGAGCCTGGTGTTTTGCAGAGTAGCTTGCTGTAGATTTTCACTTCGTGCAAGAACAGAAGTATCACTGAATTAAGGAAAACCACTTTATTGGAAGAACCCCAACATGCATCACCCTAGCCTGTGCAGTAAATAAATGGCAGGGGTCAAAGGATAGGGTCAGCAGTTTTTAGGGCAGTCTATGGAGGCCATAGGTTTCCAGGACAGTTATCAGAGCAGAGGACCTTGTGCAGCTGGACAGTGTGCACCGGTTCAGCAGGGGAGTGTAAAAGAGTCAGTAGAGCAGTGTACAGGGGGTAAGCAGAGCAGAGGATAGGTGTAAACAGAGCATATGACAGGGATCAGCAGGATGGAGAAAAGGAATTAATGGGTCATCAGGGTAGAAAACAGTGGCTAGCAGAGAAAAGGACAGGGTCACTGCTGGCGGAGCACTTGGTAGATCTCTTCCTCCAATCCCCACATTGCAAACAGCCTGGGTAGTCAGAGCTTCTCCACTCCACACAGCACATAGCTGAGATCAGATATCCTAACAGACACAGCACCCATCTGCACAGTGTGTATTTGGCTACAGATCAAGGCTGTGTGTGTAACTAATTTTGACCTCTGTTATACGCTGTGAGGAAGAGATCTGTTGAGTGCCCTTATTCTTCAACATCCTCAGCATAAGTCCCTCCCCCTCAAAAAAAAAAAAAAGCACTGATCAGCACGCTCACCCCTAAGCATAAATTCTCCCCAGAACAATAATTCCTCCTCCTCATCCCAGTGCAAATGTTTGCCACTCAATCCCACCTCACAGCTCAAATCCCTGCTTTCTCCCTACAAAAATCTCCCCACCCAAAAAGATCACCCCTCCTAGCACACTTCTTTTGCTTAAATTTCCCATCCTAGGGGAATTCCTCCCTGCCAAATCCCCTCTCCCAATTACTCTTCCCAGCACAAATCCTGACCAGCCCTCTTCTTCTAACCCAAATTCCCTGTCCTCGCACATACAGTCAGGTCCATAAATATTGGGACATCGACACAATTCTAGTATTTTTGGCTCTATACACCACCACCACAATGGATTTGAAATGAAACGAGCAAGATGTGCTTTAACTGCAGACTGTCAGCTTTAATTTGAGGGTATTTACAGCCAAATCAGGTGAACGATGTAGGAATTACAACAGTTTGCATATGTGCCTCCCACTTGTTAAAGGACCAAAAGTAATGGGACAATTGGCTTCTCAGCTGTTCCATGGCCAGGTGTGTGTTATTCCCTCATTATCCCAATTACAATGAGCAGATAAAAGGTCCAGAGTTCATTTCAAGTGTGCTATTTGCATTTGGAATCTGTTGCTGTCAACTCTCAAGATGAGATCCAAAGAGCTGTCACTATCAGTGAAGCAAGCCATCATTAGGCTAAAAAAACAAAACAAACCCATCAGAGAGATAACAAAAACATTAGGCGTGGCTAAAACAACTGTTTGGAACATTCTTAAAAAGAAGGAACGAACCGGTGAGCTCAGCAACACCAGAAGACCCCAGAAAACAACTGTGGTGGATGACCAAAGAATTCTTTCCCTGGTGAAGAAAACACCCTTTACAACAGTTGGCCAGATCAAGAACACTCTCTCCAGGAGGTAGGTGTATGTGTGAATGTCAACAATCAAGAGAAGACTTCACCAGAGTGAATACAGAGGGTTCACCACAAGATGTAAACCATTGGTGAGCCTCAAAAACAGGAAGGCCAGATTAGAGTTTGCCAAACGACATCTAAAAAAGCCTTCACAGTTCTGGAACAACATCCTATGGACAGATGAGACCAAGATCAACTTGTACCAGAGTGATGGGAAGAGAAGAGTATGGAGAAGGAAAGGAACTGCTCATGATCCTAAGCATACCACCTCATCAGTGAAGCATGGTGGTGTTCGTGTCATGGCGTGGGCATGTATGGCTGCCAATGGAACATGTTCTCTTGTATTTATTGATGATGTGACTGCTGACAAATGCAGCAGGATGAATTCTGAAGTGTTTCGGGCAATATTATCTGCTCATATTCAGCCAAATGCTTCAGAACTCGTTGGACGCCGCTTCACAGTGCAGATGGACAATGACCCAAAGCATACTGCAAAAGCAGCCAAAGAGTTTTTTAAGGGAAAGAAGGGGAATGTTATGCAATGGCCAAGTCAATTACCTGACCTGAATCCGATTGAGCATGCATTTCACTTGCTGAAGACAAAACTGAAGAGAAAATGCCCCAAGAACAAGCAGGAACTGAAGACAGTTGCAGTAGACGCCTGGCAGAGCATCACCAG